TTGAAATTCCCATTGCTTGTGTGTGTCACCATTTCTGTCCAAAAACACCTCCTTCCTTAACATGTAAACAGTATTAGCAGCCTAACACCAGGCAAAGAATGGCAAGCAGCCAAGAAAAAGATGATGAGGATACTTCCTAGGGTTGTACCCGACTCAGAATTGTGTCAGTCAAATTGGATTTGGCTGTTCAATACGACTACTGGATTATTTTCTTTATTGGACTTTTTTTTCCATGTAGAGATTGAGAGATTGAACTGGGTTCAGCGGGATGTTCAGGGTGACAGGGATGTTTATCGTTCTAATTGCGCTAACAATGGATCGGAAATGTGCAGCAACATTTTTTACTGACACTACATATCAAACAAAAGCCAGAAACTGTGTGGTATTAAGTTGCTGTGAGCTTTAAATTAATCACTTCTTACCAGAGGGCAGAAGATAACATAATCAGTAACAGGCTCCTGAATTGAATCGATTTGAAATCGCATTTTCAGTTTCATTTCAGCACAAATTAATCAACATTTCTGCAAATGTGCCAGTGTTAGCTAGCTGGCTAATTTTCAACTGTAGTCCTTAGGCAAGATGTTTTGAGACCACTGGCAGACAGCATCGTGGCAGACTTTTTGGTATCAGCAAATGACGTATCATTGTCCAAAGATTGTGTACGTCTATGTACTATCATACCATGATAAAACTTGGGTTTTACCTACCAATTACGTGCAAAACTAACGACAACAGCACTAGCTTTATTTTGTGTTTAATGCTAATTAGCAAGTGTTAGCATGCTAACATCCTAAACTAAGATAGTGACAATTGTAAATGTAATACCTGCTAAACATCCATCAGTGGTAACAAACATGTTACCACTGCTATTGTCATATCATGTTTTCACATTAAATGGTAGCATGCAAAGTTTAGCATGCCACCTCATGGAGCTGCTAGCAGGACTGTAGACTCTCAGTCTTGCTATATATGCAGGAAACAGACACACACAGAGAAATGCATACAAAATGCAAAACATTTCGACATGTATTCAGAAAAATAAAGTTGGCTCATTTGCAGAAATAATTTTTGTGTCCTAGCTCTTTGGGCAAAAAAAAAATCCACACAAACAATAGTGCCCTGGGGGGATTTGACAGCCTTTGAAAAAATTACTTTATTATTTTTGCTTTCAGAAAAAAATTGAACAGTAATAAAACTTGACAATAATTATTATTATTATTATTTTGTCCTAGAGAGGTAAAAACAAGACAGACAATCAAAACAAAGAGAAATGAAAAACGTGCCTTATTATGGCCATGATATAAAGCCAGTCAGAAAAGAGAGAACTCTAATTGCCCATCTGAAGCACATAGAAGGACAGATTTTTTTTTCTAACTCTCTGCTAAGCTTCCCCTAAATGGCAAATCAGTGAGAAGAGAGCAGAGTCTCTCCCCAATGGAGCAATCAGCATGTTAATACTGAAGCAAAACACCTCAAAGTTCTCCCTTGTATTTTAGAACCCATTTTATATAACCTAACAATAGCATTTAATTAACAGGGAGTTACACCTGAGCATTTAGATTTTAACCAAAGGAGTCTCTGTTGTTATTTCACTTGTCTTCCCCTTTAATTATTCTGAATTAGAGTCTCGCTGAGATTCTCTGGGGCTTTAATTAGGGACTGAATTAAAGTTATGTAAATACAGTTGGAAGCCGCAGAGTCTTTAAATAGAGTTGTGTTGCATCTGGTATTTTATTTTCATTTTTTTTTTCTGAAAGAGAAAACATCCTAAGTCTTTCTTTTGAAGTTTGTCAAATCACCCCAGGGTGCTATTCCCTCAGGTGTTTGTGTGGATTGATACTTTTTCTCAAAGGGCTACGACACAAAATCTATTTCTGCAAATGAGCCATTTTTTGTTTCTCTGAATGTGTGTGACAATGTGTTGCATTCTGTGTGTGTTTCTCTGTTTCTTGCACACTTGAGTATTTATGCTTTTGAATGAAAACTAACCGGAAACTGGCACCCATGAAGTTACCTGCCTATGAATGTATTAATGACTGATTCTCCACCTCCAATCTTCTGATCCACTGTGAAAATGAAAAGAGCAGGATCAACCTCCCATTGGGCTAGATTAAATCCAAACTAAGTGCCTGGGCCCAGACTGCAAGCTTCTGTCTCTGAATAATAATGGGCTCTTTCAGCTGTGTTTGTCATCAAATTAGCCCTCTACTTCAGACGAGGCGCTCTCAGTGCAATTCTCAACAACGACGGAATTCAAATTAGACAAAGTCAGTTTGAGGTTTGTAAGCTTTAAAAAGGGAGAATGAGCTTCATTTGTGAAGGTGATGATTGCAGTAGGAGGTAAAATGACAGTGTTCGGATTCATGAAAACACCTTCCTTCCTGCGGTGCAGCTGCTTTCATGGTGACTCACATTACGGTAGAGACAGTAAAACAAACCTTAAACCGGTAATTGCAGCCTGCAGCTTCCTCTGCATACTTTAAATCCGACCCTCAGTCTTTACCATGAAGCCTTTGAAGCTTCTCCATCAGCACACGCTTTCGAGTGTTATTTCATTTTCTTATTTGCCTCCCAAATAAACAGTGCTACTGTATAGAGTGCATTTATACGCATGGAGGAAGGCTGTTTAACGCAGTCTTGAGGCTGAGTTCACTTTTGTTTGTCTTCCTGCCTTGAATTTTTGCGTTCAAGGGACCCAAGTTGAGTTCCTCCTGCTTCTCTCCGTCTGACACACTATTGCTCTCATACCTTTGATCAACTCAGAGGAAAACATGCCCTGGGACGCTCCATCACTCCAACACAGCGGGGGGGAAATATAGGGCAGGAGGGGGCAAGGAAGAAGGGATGGAAACCCTATTTCCTCCTGGCACTTTCTGTCTTGCTCACTCTCTCCCAAGGATTGAGCAACAATTAAAAGATCGGTTCAGGGCATCTGATGAAGTGAGCTTGAATCTGAAATAGCTGAGACAATTGGATGTGAGATAGATGTGCCTTTTAATTACTAATATGGTCTTCAGAAGAGATTTTATCACAAGAAATGACTTCAAGCATAGACTCACATTGAGGATTTATTAAAATCATACTTTCCCTAAAACAAAAAGATACATTTAAGATGCAGTGCCAATGACATAACATGTACTTTATAATGCAAATCAGTTCCAGGATGTTTTTTTCCATCCGTAGCTATTAATGAGCTTGAACCTGACGCTTAATCATATGTGTGAAAAGTTAATGAGAGATGAGTAATGGAACACTTTTTCTATAAACCAAATTGTATCATACCTTCAAAACCAGGGCTCTCTTAAGCACAATCATACTCTGATACCTGCTAAAGAGTTATTTTACTAATAATGTACTAAAAAATGTTTTGGCAACGCCTCCTCCAGCAGTACATCAGATTAGCCCACTGAGCCGTTATCTCACTGTTATGATAAATATACATTATGGGAGCATGGCACTTTTTTCTGCTTTGAGCTGACCTGAAGGCAACTGAAATGATCACATTAGTGCAGTAGTGAGAGCTGATATACTCCCCTTCTTTCAGTTTGTTTTTGAATGAAGCTTAAGTCCATTTAAAACGCACATAATTAACGCGAGCGCAGACTACACTTGACTTCAAAATACTGTGCATTTTTTCATCACCGGGAGGCCACATGATGTTGTTGACCTTGTTGTTAAATTCCCGTCTTTGATATTGAAAGCGATAACTTTTGTATCCAGCCACGTATCCTCATAAGTGTTGGGGGGCTGTCTTTGATGTTCAGAGACAGAGCGGGGAATTAATCTAGACGTGATTTTCACATTAAAGTTATGAATACCTTTTGATTTGAATGAATAGTTGATTAAAAAAGCAATTCACCTTCCTGGAAAAGTCTGTGAAGCCCTACTATCCCATGCTACAATTTACAATTTAGCTTTTCTAGTTATAGAAATAGTCCAAAAAACCTTTTTGAACTTCTTTCTTTTGGTTATTATTATTATTATCATTATTATCATTAATATTATTATTATTATTATTATTATTATTATTATTATTATTATTAATTTCACTCACCACTCATGTAGTACATAGCCAGGTTCAATTTTACAGCATCTCCTCTATCCAGGACACTCCACCTTTTCATGGAACGTTCAAAGCAATTACAGGCAAACAGTCACAATTCACAATCTTTTTCAGTCAGGGTAGGCAATGCATGAGCTCTGACCCACTAGTACTGAATCTGAAGTGGTCAAGAAAGGTGCATCCTGCAAGATTTAAATAAAAATACATCTTCAAAACGTACTTTGCATTGTTGATACCCAAGAGTCGTGTTACAATGTTGAGGCAGATGCTCTAATATGAAATTGTTGCAGTGAAAGATCACCAAGTTGTATTTCTGCAACTGCATGTCAATGTGAAGAAGTCGGTGTCATGGATGGATTACTGAATGGGCCTCCTGGACACAGGTCAATAGGCCTGTTGAGTGTCACTCAAATGAACACATACTGACCAGGATAAGACTCAAAATGGTCACAGAGAGGTGCAAAGGAACTGCAAAGAGACTCAAAATAACTACAAAAACTAGTAAAACAACCACATGGAGACAAGAAATGACCAAAAAAAGAGACAAACAATACATCACCACAAAGTATGTGTCTGGTTCCTACAGAGAGGTGGTGGAGCCCTTTGCTCATCTGTGCTCAGGGGCCTATTGTCTCATGACCCATCCAAATATCACATACAGTTTTTTAGCTGGTCTCTCCATCGTCATTCCGAACAGTTCTGTGAGCAGCAGACACTCTGTGCGCTTTTGAAAAGAAACTTTTAATCTTGTTTTGGAAAGAAACCCTACACATGCAAGGGGAGACTCTAAATGGCACAAAAACCATGTTACATCTTATTTCCAGAAAATGTACGGCATTGAGAGGCTTCTGAAATAGCTTTAAACTGTTTGCTGAGAACAACGGTAGTACTTTGTAATGGATTGTTTTGGTCTGTGTCTCGCTCTTTTTCCCCACAGGGCTGAAGCAGATCCATGCCCTGTCCATCCAAGGGAACTATGAGCTTCGTATCGACTTGGAGGACTTTGAAAATAGCACTGCTTACGCCCAGTATGGAACCTTTGGAGTAGGCCTCTTCTCAGTCGACCCTGATGATGATGGATATCCTTTGACTGTGGGGGACTATTCTGGCAATGCAGGTGTGTATGCTCAGTGAACTATTTAGATTTTGCCTGCACAATTTCCTGTGCTTGTTCTCTGATTGGTATACACTATTTTTGTTATTCATTTTTTCTTTTAACCTAATTGTGAGCACAGAAATCATAACTTCCAGTTCACGCTGCCTCAGAATAATAGCATGTTATTTTTACAGTGCAGTAGGTGTGTCCACTTGTTAAACCATGCAGACAGCTTCACAGGGAGAGGGACTGCTAGTGTCTGTGTCTCTGCTCCCCAACCATCAGATCCAAGCCAGCTACCTGTCACCTTGATTAAATTACTGCCAATTAATTGCACTGCTTGACCTGCAGCGTAAACAAAAAACCCCGCCGTTGAAATGAAGAAGCAATTTAAAGAACCTTTGGGGAGTGCTGCTCCAAGAACACAGGAGAGAATGGGGACAGATATGAGAGATGGAGCAGGAAACCGAAGTGAGGAGGAAAGGAGGAGGGCTTGGAGAAACTGGGATGGAGGAAAGGAGGGGACAGGTGCGAAAGAAGAAGAGAGTAACGGAAGAGAGGTAAATAAAAATGAGGGTAGAGGTATCTAAGGGACAGGGAAGCAGAGGACTGGGGACAGAAACAATGTGCTGTGTGTGCAACAGCTTTTTCCCCAGATATGGTGTCCTGTAACGCACCTGGCTTGTCCTCAGCACGGCCTGACCTTGAACTCATCTGCCTGTTGGACATTTGAATCCACTCAAATTAAGGGTACTCAAACTCTCTCAGGATGCTCATCCTCTCACCTCAGCCTCCCTGTAGGCGGCTACTGTTATTATTATTAGGGGTATTTTGCTCTGGTGTGGCTGCTTTCTGATCAGCTGACAGGTGCTCATTTGGGCTGGGAGCAGCTGGATCTTAATGGCATCGGAGGCGGCTGCCGGCCCCCAGCCACCAAGGTGACATCCAGCGCCTTGCAAATGAGCCTTTAAGTGCTTCTGTTTTGTTTTTGTTTTTTTTCCCCCCTCTCCTTTTTTCTACATCCCTTGGACATCGTCCCATTGTCGACAGCGCTTCATTTTCTTCCCTTTACTTCCCCACTGTCTTTTTCCTCCTGATGTCGAACAGCACACAACATGGATATCAGACATGCCTGTCAGATTATTTTTCCGGCTGACTGGTTACCATGGTAATGCCAAATGGAGAGCAGAGTAGGACAGAGCGAGAGGGTAAGGAGCTGGGCAGCCACATCCTGAGCAATTAAGGGTTGTTTGATGCCCTGACGAGCTGTTAGCCATCACCTGATGGCTGGTGAGCGGTCTTTCATTCTGCTCTCAGCTTTATCCTTCTATCCACTTCTGGTCACAGTGTGATGCTTGCTTTGGAAAGAAAGGAAAGGACAGAGAGTGCAGGGGAGCTAGGGGGAGTTTATTGAACATTATGAGCTGTTTGAACATCCATTTACTGAAAACTTTAGGCCTACCGCAGTTTCAGCGAAAATGTTGCTTTCATTTTACTTGTTAGCTTGCGAGGCAGTTATCGATGTAGAGAATATGTCAGTGAGGGATCTTTATATAGCGAGAAGGTATTTTCAGCTCGGTAATTTAATTGTGTTAATCAGACTTACCACGCAGACCGTGATTAAGGGCACTTAGGTGATTTGACTTGCATGTGTCGCGTCCCCACATTAGTCTTACATCATTATCACATTCACAATCATGCTGCAGGAAAGAATGCCCTCTTATTAACTAGCATCTATGCTTTTCAAGATACCAGTGCCAGTTTCAAAAATACATAAAAGATCAACATTGATGCAAAAAGAAAGAATGAAACCAACAGTCTGTTAATTGCGTTGTTTCCCTCCTATTATAACATTTCTGTACATTAAGCGACAGACATGCTGGTGAAACCATTGGGGCTGTGTTATTAAAAAGAGGAAGATAAAAAGGTCACCACGCTGCCTTTGATAAATTGGCTAAGAAGCCGTCTGACCTCCTGCTTTAGATAATGAGAAGCAATACCCTGGAGAGCTGTGGAGCTTTATTTTTTATTCTATCATCTCTCTCTGTTTGTAGAAATGATTAATTGAAAGGTCCTATACTATTTTGAAGTTAATCACTTGTGGATGTGTCTAATTGCTGGTTTCTGGTTTCAGATCCAAGAATATTTTGGGGGAAGACACAGAGGAGATGCAATAGCTGTTGCTTAAAATGTTTTTTTTTTCTTCTCTGTCCCAGCTGCACTTGTTTACGAGAGCTTGTTTCATTCACTTTAAATAAACCTACATCTTAATCCGACCTGGTCTGGTTCCTAACTCATCAAATACAGACGCTTGGTCAAAGGCCCTTGGTGTCAGATACTGACACATTGAGACACCATTTAGCAGCAGTATGAGACGCACCGGTCGGCAGCATTTTTTGAAGCTCTGAAATACTGCCATAGTATAAAAAGCAAGAATGTCTACATAGGGTTCTGGGAGGAGATGTGGACAGGTCAAACATACCCTGGACTTTCATCAAGGGGGAGAGCTGTTTGTTTACAGTGTGAAAACAAAAGTCAGTCAATTTATTTTAATAATAATGTAGTGTGCTATGTGTAGCATACTAGTGACATATGTGCTTGTGACATATGTTACGTATGTCACGTGACATTTCATTATGTTAGCAACAAACATACTAATTTCAGGCCAAACCATGATGTCTTATTGTAAACCTAACCAAGTACTTTTGTTGCCTAAACCTAAGCCCATGCTTTTATCTTGCATAAAGCTAACCTCCCGAGACCCAAGATTTTGTTTGGTGTGCATTTTTTATTCTCCTATAGCTATTTGGGAAACGTAGAACCCGATAAGTTTAAACAACTAACCACTGTCTTTGACCAGTGAGTAGTTTTTGAGAAGAAATAATGTCATTATATAGGGACAGTGGGTTTATTTTGTTATAGTCACAAGTATTTAAGAAAGTATTAAACTGTTTCTTTCAATGCCTGAACATGGCTTTGTTCATTTTGTAACTCTGTATAAAGTTCCTCTTGCTCCATATTCCAATCAGGCAAAGTCCTTTTTGTTTGTAGAAGCAGTCTGTCACACCTAATTGGCCTGTGTGAAATGCTGCGATGACACAATAATAGAGTCCCAGTATCCTCAAACAAGAACTTTGTAATAAACAGCATTTTAGTGTGTTACTGTTGCTAAATTTGGTCAAATTTGTGCACCATATTAGACTACAGACATTATCAAGCATGAATAATTAAGTTTCAGTGGCACGGTGGTTCAGCGGTTATCATTGTCGCCTCACAGCAAGAGGGTTTCTGGTTTGCATGTTCTCCGTCTGTTTTCTCTGGGTACTCCGGCTTCCTCCCACAGTCCAAAGACATGCAAATTAGATTAACTGGTGACTCTGAATTGTTTTTTTGTCCATTTCTATGTCAGAATCAGCTGTACAGTGACTTTGCGGAGATGGCCGCCATTTTGTTTTTGCATAGATTAGTGTATTGTGCTTATGCTACCACTAGATGGCACATAAAAGTGTCCAGGAACAAGGGATATGGGTGCAGCAAACCCAAAATGTAATGCAGGGTCACAGGAGGCTAAGAAGTCAGAAAGAAACAAAATGCTTTTAATGAGTGGAAACTACACATTTCCCATGAAAACCTACGTTTATTTTGAGAAGACACAATGTATAAAACAAGTGTGAATTGAAACACCATGCCTGGGCATCCAAAACTGACAGTGTAGAGGTACCAGAACACTGTGGTTTGACATGTAGGGCCGCTGACCAAGTGTCTGTGTTTGGCGAGTTGGGGGTGAGAATGTGCTGCTTTATCCTACGGTTTAAATATGTACTGACACATTCAAATTTTGTTTCACATCTTCTCCCACCCTAGGTGACTCTCTGCTGAAGCACAACGGGATGAAGTTCACCACCAAAGACAGGGACAACGACCACTCGGAGAACAACTGCGCCTCTTTCTACCATGGTGCCTGGTGGTACCGCAACTGCCACACCTCCAACCTTAACGGCCAATACCTGCGTGGCCAGCACACCTCCTATGCCGACGGCATCGAGTGGTCCTCGTGGACTGGCTGGCAGTACTCCCTCAAGTTCTCCGAGATGAAGATACGACCTACCCGTGACCCAGAGAATAAATGAGAAAGACAAAAGGAAAAAAGGAGGAAAAAGAAGAAGTTTTCTGAAACATTACAAACCACAGTTTCTGACAGCTAGGCGGAGTTACTTGTCTTGATATTGTTTATTCACTAAAAAACATACCTCTTTGAGTTTAGTTGACTCTGCTGTTTGCCTCCTGATGTCTCGCTCCCTTTTTGCTCCTCTTCCTCCATCACTCAGCTACTAGTGTCATGCCAGCTACCATTGTCCTTCCCCCGGTTCCTTTCTTGAAAAAAAAAATGTAACTGTCATCATGAATATTTTTGATCATTCAGTTCACACAAACAGCTTACCAGAGCTCACAGTCCACTGCGCTAGCTTTACTCAGTCTGACATGGTGGTCCAAGCATCGCCTGCAGGATCACACACCAGTAATTCGCTCCTGACATGTAACTCTGACCTCCCATCTGTGCTGACATGGCACTTTGATTGTGGTTCAGTCTCACTGCCCATTGCTGTATAATCTGTGAGGGGAGAGGGTTGCGCCAGATATAATAGAAACAGACAAACTCTTTGCAAAAATATGAACGGAGATAAAAATCCTCCTCCTTTCCCCATTTGCAAAGGAAGTTTCCCCGGTGAGAAGGGACAGCGCAGTGGTACACTATGTCACATTTACATCCTTGATCTGTGTGAATGAGACCCAGCAGGGTAGTGGCAAGAAGTGCAGGGCCTCAGATAATTAGAGGAAGACAGAGACAGAGAGAACGAGGAAACAATTTGACAAGAGGTAAATTAGTCGAAAGGATGAAGGGGGAGCAGGGTGGATCAAAGGGGAGAGAGGAAGTGGAAGAAGAGGAGGTGCAAAAAGGATGAGAAAGAGAAATGAGAAAAAGGAAGAGACAACGGAGGATCTCATTCATCTGACTTGGGCCATTAGGGAGCATATTGGGCACTTTGTCTGATCTGCCTGCCAGCTGAGTACTGGCCAACTGATGCAGCACTCACAGATGGTAACCCAGCACTTTGTGTGTGTGTACGTGGCTATGTGTGTGTATGCGTGTGTGTCTACGACGGAGAGAGACAGACAGAGTTCTCTAACATTATCAATTTCCTGTCATGAGTTCAGTAGAGCGTCTCGACTGACTACAATGTTTAGCACAGACATGATGCATGGCTGGCATACCTTTCACTCTCCATTTAAGTAGTTAACATCAAATAACAAAGCCTGTAATGTATGTACATGTGACAGGAGGGTAAAGACACTGACAACAATTTAAAGGAGACCAACGGGATCGGAGAATGAAGGAGGAATCAAAGACTGTGTCATGACTTCTTCTCGGACCTGATGAGGAAATGTTACATTTTTGCCAACGACCCCACATTCCCACCTCTTTGGTTTGTCCTCTGATTTGTCATTTTTTTTCTCCTTTCCAGGAGATTCTTACGGGATCCGTTTGCATGACACAGTTCCTCTTGTCATGCAAAGGGAGAGAAAGTTGCTGTAAAATAAGATTTGACGCTTTCAGCCACTGTCTTTTTTTTTTCTTCTGAGTAGGAATTCTACAATGTGTTATGGCAAACACAAAATTGCCGAAAGCAAAAAAAAAAAAAAAAAGAATAACAGAAAAAGAAAAAAAATGTCATGAAGAAAAACACAAAGGCAAACTGTGGGCAGAAACAGTGCAATCCTGATTTTCCGTCTTTTTTTTAAGTCGGTGAATCAACTTTTCTCAGTTTCATCGAGTTTATTTGGATGTACTAAAAGCTTTAAAAAATTATCTGTAGATTTTATTGTACAGTGTGTATGACTTTTAGAGCATGTGAAGCTGTTTTCTTACTATGCTAAAACACAAAGAGTACTCAAGCACATGGACTTCACAAAATCCACCAGTTAAAACAAACAAACAAAAAAAAAAACAAGTGAAGAAAGTATTTACAGAACTTTTTTCCCTTCCTCTGCCTGAAAAGCAAGCGAGAGTGGCCTGTGCCGCTTTGAAGGTCGGATATGAGTGACGGGGAGGAATGTGATTACCCCTTAAGCACATGCCCATTCAAATCTGCAGCACAAATATAAATCTTTTTACGGAGGCACAAAAATACGAGAGAGAGATTTCAAACCTCCTGGCACATTTAGCTGCCTTGCTGGACACATGTGATCTTTCTGACATCTTGGCTTCGGAAAGCCCTGTGGTGCTGGGAGACAGTTTCGAATGTGTGCTGAAGGGTGTTGCCCCAGCTGACAGTGGGTTAACGTGTAGCAGCGAGCAATGTTGCACCGGATACCTCTGACACTGGAACAGCTGTGAGCTTCTCTGTCATCGCTGGTGCTGGGGAAGGATCTCCCATTGCTGTTTGTGCAGTGCCTCGGCTGTGTGCATACAGCTATACGTCATGTCTCGGCGGACTGCTGCCACCTCTCTTCAACATCAAAGCACAGACACATGTTGCAAGTACTTACTGGTGTTATTATGGCACAAAGATGGAGGTTTGATAATGTCAGAGGATATAGCGAATTTAAAACAAGCTCAAAATGTATGAGTTCACTTGGGGAGAAGGGGACTGGTGTGTGAGAGCGTATGCAAATGTGTGTGTCTCTGTGCTAGACAGAGGGTGTGTGTGTGTTAGCGCGTGTGCACATGTGTGCGTCTACAGTGTCTCTGTGTGTATATGCACATGCTTCAGTTTGTACATGCCCATGTGCATGAGCCAGATGACAGAGCGGGAGGCTGAGTGTGTCTCTCTGTGGAATTTTGAAGTAATGTGATGCTTATGTACAACTTGCCTCCCCTGCTATTTGTGTCGATAACAGAGAGATTTACATAATTATAAAGAACTATTACTTATTGTGATTGTGAACCCATGAGAGTGGACACCACCTTCTGGTACTGTGTTGAAACTGCGCTCGTACCCTAACCCCCCCCCCCCCCCCCCCCCCCCCCCCCCCCCCCCCCCCCCCCCCCCCCCCCCCCCCCCCCCCGAGATCCCATTCCCTAAAAATCTTTATCTTCACCTCGACACAACATTGTGCTCACTGTATATGTTAATGCTATGCCGCCCCTTGTTATTAAAATGTAAAGTATTATTTGCCATGCCCCCTTCTGTGTTTTTGTTGAGTGAATGCCTTTATAGTCACTCTCTCTGCTGCAGCTTGCTAAGTCTCCAATGGAAGAGATGATAAAAGAGTGAAATCAGAGGTTCTAATCATTCCCGTTATCCCGCTCATTACAGTGCATCAGCAACCCCCTGATCAATCCCCCAGCTCCCCAAACCTTCTATCTTTCTTACTGTGTACCTCCTTAATTGCCTTAGCCTCTGCTGCCAATTCCCCCTCACTCCATAGCTCCTAAATTCTCCTCTCTTCTCTTCCCGGCTCCCGACTCCCTGCCTCTTTATTGCTCTGCTTTTTGCCCCACTCTGCTCTCCCCCTGTCCTCAGTCCTCCCATTCCTTCAGTCCCAGCGCAGAACTAACTCTGTTTTCTTTTTCTTTTCTTTTTGGTGAAGTACTATAGATTGTTTTGCTGAATCTTGATACTGTGTTTTAATGTTCTTGTCAACATTTAATAAACATTCACATTTTATAAATGGGAAACGCCCTGAAGTGTGTGGGGTTTTCTCGGTTCATCTGTGCATGCTTGTAGCAGTGTGGTTGTAAGCTTGTTTTTTTAACGGCTTTGATCAAGCTGAATAAAAGCAGGCAATGGACATTTAATAGGAATGCTGGTACATCAACATCAATAAAGTGGCAATGGAATCAAAGGGCAACCTCAAAAGTTGAAAAACTAAGTCACTGCTAAAGTGCCAAAAAACTGCAGTTCCTCTAATGGCCACTTGAGGCTGGCTCCAAAAGCCAGTTTGTCCCCATACACCCCCATGTTAAAATGCCCAACTTTACAGCCTGGTAACTCATCGGTTTAAATTCTATTAAGGCTTAAAGTTACACATAACTAAGAGGGTGGCTGTTTTGAGTGACAGCATGCCTACTGATAGTGTCCTTGGCTGCTTTTGTCCAAATATGGTCACCTCTGGCCCCAAAAAATCCAAGATTGTGATAGCCAAGATGCCAAACTTGAGGCTTCAAAACAGGAGTCCACAATGGGTGTAGTCACAGTGGCTACATCCATTATTTTATACAAAAATTCTTCTAACCCATATGACCACATAAGTTTTATGTTTATACCTCTGAATACAACCCACAGGAACGTTTCCTTAATTCGCACACCTACTGTTGGACGACAGAATAGCTTGTTTGTCCAGTCACGGTTGCAGTTTTAAACACATGGGTAATGTTATTTAACAGTCGCAGTTACATCAAAAGTTTAGGTTAGAACTGTTTGTCACATGTGTCACCGGAAATAACTCACATGATGTGTCGCATGACATATGTCAACATTCTACATTTCATTGTTAAAATAACTCTACATTGGATATTGTTTTCACATGGGACACAAACAAGGGTCTCCTAGATTAAAGTCCACTGCATGTTTGACCCACCCACCTGCCCTGCCTCCCATCCAAAGCAGACATTGTCCACCATGATACTACGTTGCCTGACTTTACCCTTCACTCTTGAAAGAATTATTCTGTCCACTAGAGGCTGGTGTCAAACAAAACTGATACATTTCTGCTTGCAGAAAATGCCCTATATGGTCGTATTTTGGAGGGAGATAGTCTCCTTTAATAGAGCATGCAGCTTGGTGTGAAAGGCAGCCTTAGCAGACCCAGAGTGTAAAAAATGCTTTAAGTTTTTATGAGCCATGCAAAGAGTTTTGACTTTATTCGCAAAGGTTTTGAGATAACATCTCAAAGTTTTCTGCTGCCAACAGAGCTCAATAGAGGTCAATTGAATTTTTTGTTTGTGCTGTTCAAGAACTTTATATTTAAAAAACATAGTATTTTGGAAGAAATAACCTCAGCACAAACATGTTTTCCATAAGCAGCGTCCCAGTTACTCTGGATCCTCCACAGAAGTGTAAAGAGTTTTCACTTATTTGCGCCGAGCAAAATACTCATTTTGAATTTTCTAACCATGTAGAGCTGTTATCACCAAGAACTAGATTATACAGCACAATTGTACTCCTAAAAAATTGGCAGTATATTTGAATAAAAATAATAATCAGGCAGGTGGAGATATCTGGGGAAATTAATTAGCTTTTAATTAGCTTCCTCTTAAATCATGTACTTAATTTCCACAGATAAGGTGCCTTGGCCCTGCTGATGTGTAGCGACATAGTGGCAGTTTCTTCTTCTTCTTCTTCTTCTTCTTCTTCTTCTTCTTCTTCTTCCTCTTCTTCCTCTTCTTCCTTTTCTTCTTCTTCTTCTTCTTCTGCTCAGGGTAAATTTTAAGCAATATTTATATTTGTGTAAAATTCAAGCCATGCATATATTACATTACATACATTAAAAAATGGGGACATTGATAGGAATAACACAGCATGATATGATGGCAGAAAATACCCAGTGATACTTATGAAAGCTTTTTGTCATTTGATGATTGATCTATCCAAATGGTCTTATCTACAACTAAATTGACAGTGAGAGGGCCTGTTGGGAGTGTGATGTTTTATTTTCATAATTTCACAATTTTACATCTAAGAGGTAATAAACATTTGAATGCATTTCTCATTGCTCATTCTTGCTTAAAACAGGGTTCCTAACAAATAGCAGGAGCCAGTTAAACCTATCAATAATGGATAAAATGATAAATGAAATGAACTGTTGGATATTCATTTCACCAGCAATTCTTTCAGGATTACTATAAGGAAACGCATACACCACTTCCTTTGTCTCCTTTGTGGTGCAGGAGATCTAGTGATGAATATCAAATTCCCACACACATTTATCACCCCTGCATTGATTTATTAAAAAAGTGCCATAGTTTTGGTCACATGGACCTCAAGACTTCATAAAGTGACACAGTACACGATCACACAGACACCACCGCTCAAAATTCCCTGTTAGTGGGGTGGCATAACTAAAGAATCGTTCAGTTCAAGCACCAAATTTGGAACATAATAGCTTAAAATATGTAGAAGATATCTGGGTATCGGCAGATTGGAATTCTGATGACTATGGTGGCAAAATCCAATATGGCTATAGCCCAGTGATCTACAAATGCAAGCTTGGTGTCTGTTTAATGGATTTTGACCACGACAAACACATTGGAATGTTAATTTTTATGATTGGATGCATTTGGACCCCTAATTTGCATATTTCCAAGATGGTGGCGACCTAAAATATATATATATATATATATATATATACAGTTTTTCAACTCTTTTGGCAAACTTGCTGTATATTTCATATCTTTATGCATGAGAAACACATTGGAATACTCAGGTTTATGATTCATCTTTATCTTTCATCATCTCTAATTTGCATATTACCAATATGGCCACTTTCCCCCAAAAATTCAATTCATGCATACATTCTCACCCAGATTATATTGTAGAGATGCGCTTTTTCTTTATTCTGTTTCCATGTTTGCAACACCACATATATAATCAACAGCAATACTAGTAAAAAATATGTTTCAATGCAAAACTTATGGCTGAAACAGTTTTCTGGTGGTGGCCACATTGGATTTTGTCGCCATGGCCATCAGAATGCCAATCTGC